CACTCGCCCTGCCCCACCCAGCCGGGCTCGGCACCCACCTCCCCTAACAGCTGCCACTGGCTGTGACATAGTGGGAGGTAACTTGCTGGGGCCGTGAGTGACCTCCACTGGCTGGTGGGCGGAGGGGGGGCCCCGAGGGGAGGGGAGGAACCTGTCTGACCAGCTACCCCCAGGGAGAGAAACAAAAGAAGGTGGAATGCCACCCCTGGCTGGGGGCAGGGCTGGACGAGAGTTAGTTAGTCTCTCTCTGGTATAATGGAGGAAGCAGCCTAGGCAACAGGCTGGGGTTTAGGAGCCCAGATCCCCTCATATCAAGGGGGGCTGAGGCATCCTAGGCCTGCCCTGTAACCAGATTACATCTGTGCTGTATCCTGGAGAGGCAATAAACTCCCTCTATTCTACTGGCTGGTGGAGTCTGTTCGGGGGTGCAGGAGATGGGGGAACCCCAATGCGCTGTCACACTCGCACTGTGCCACCCAGCTGGGCTCTGCGCCCACCTCCCCTAACAGCTGCCACTCGCACTGTGCCACCCAGCTGGGCTCGGTGCCCCCCTCCCCTAACAGCTGCCACTCGCACTGTGCCACCCAGCTGGGCTCGGTGCCCCCCTCCCCTAACAGCTGCCACTCGCACTGTGCCACCCAGCTGGGCTCGGTGCCCCCCTCCCCTAACAGCTGCCACTCGCACTGTGCCACCCAGCTGGGCTCGGTGCCCCCCTCCCCTAACAGCTGCCACTCGCACTGTGCCACCCAGCTGGGCTCGGTGCCCCCCTCCCCTAACAGCTGCCACTCGCACTGTGCCACCCAGCTGGGCTCGGTGCCCCCCTCCCCTAACAGCTGCCACTCGCACTGTGCCACCCAGCTGGGCTCGGTGCCCCCCTCCCCTAACAGCTGCCACTCGCACTGTGCCACCCAGCTGGGCTCGGTGCCCCCCTCCCCTAACAGCTGCCACTCGCACTGTGCCACCCAGCTGGGCTCGGTGCCCCCCTCCCCTAACAGCTGCCACTCGCACTGTGCCACCCAGCTGGGCTCGGTGCCCCCCTCCCCTAACAGCTGCCACTCGCACTGTGCCACCCAGCTGGGCTCGGTGCCCCCCTCCCCTAACAGCTGCCACTCGCACTGTGCCACCCAGCTGGGCTCGGTGCCCCCCTCCCCTAACAGCTGCCACTCGCACTGTGCCACCCAGCTGGGCTCGGTGCCCCCCTCCCCTAACAGCTGCCACTCGCACTGTGCCACCCAGCTGGGCTCGGTGCCCCCCTCCCCTAACAGCTGCCACTCGCACTGTGCCACCCAGCTGGGCTCGGTGCCCCCCTCCCCTAACAGCTGCCACTCGCGCTGTACCACCCAGCTGAACGTGGCCCTGGGGTGTGATGTTTTCATAGGTGCCCAGGAGAACATTCACTGGGAAGTGCAGCGGTACGACGGCTGGTACAACAACCTCCAGTACCACAGGCTTGGCTCTGCCGGTGAGTGCGGGCGTGTGGGAGGTCAGCGCTGGTGGCATGGTAGGGCCAGTGGCTTTGATGTCTCTGGTCACCGTAGTCTCCCTTCTGAATGTGGCTTCTATTGACTTTCAATAAGTGTCTGTGCCAAATTCCCTTAAATATGTGGCTCCTATTGACATTTAACCAGTGTTGGTGCCTAAATCCCTTGGGCACGGGCTGCTGCTGATGTTCAAAGGTGGCTGGCACCAAACTCCAAGAGGCGATTTTTAAAATCCCACCTGCAGTCCCCCCAGAGCTGCAAGTGGGCGACGCTTGTGGAACGTTGTTTATTTTGGCCCCGTCTCCGCCGGCCAGGGCTTGTCACGAGTGTTTGGGCAGGAGAGCAGCCCCAGGGCCCAC